CATCCTCGGGTTCATCCTTGCTCCACTCAGGCGTCGTGAGATATCGTAGAGGAGGCGTATATCGCCAGTGTTTGCGGCTTTCTCCCCTTCGTCGGCCAGGGAGTTCACCCACGCTCGCTTGTCCCGTCTGCAAGAGCGCTTGACTTCCTTCTCTAGAGCCGAGTACCGTTGACGGGCTTCGTTCTTGGCTCCTCTGGTTTTCACCCGCTCTATCGCGGCTTTTGCTTCTCTACGCTCCTCAATCTTCCGCCACGTTTCATCTGTGATCGACAAAAAGTACGTTTGATTGAGCTATATTTTGCGTTTGTTATGACTAAAATTTATGTCAAATTTGACGCTCGTATATGTCACTCTCAGAGCACCTAAATTTACATGAATTTTTCTAAGTGTGTATGCTATGGGAATAAGGAACGACTAAAAGTGCATAAGAAGCGCTCATTTCCTCTCTATTTCGTATGCTTTTTCTGCTGAACGGGAATTGGAGAGTATTGTGGAAAGTGTGTATGTCGTTCGAAAGCGTAGACCGAACACGAAATAATGAAGATAAATAATCATTACATTGCCTGCAAGGTTAACTTATGTCATTCGCTGCGGTATTCGTTGCGGAGAATGATAGGAAATGCAACTATCATTCAATGTACTACATTTTTGGTTTACATGTTGGCTTGAATATCCAAAGTCCACTCGAAAAACAGGTTGCAAACACACCAACACATTAATTTTAATATTACATCAAAGTGGATGTACTTCGATCGTTTAGAAAATGTGCTGCTTTTACTGAATATGTTTATTTTTGTGGCCATAAAAATTACATGGGATTTTCGACATGATTGAAGTGCGTCTTCTTGAATGTAATATAAAAATTATTTTTTTGCTGTGCAATTTCTTCGAATTTTGCTGAATTTATTCTGTACGAATTCACAGAATTTGGCATAAAATTCGTACACACTTAGAAATTATCGCCGACTTCGGTAATTTTTACCGAAATCTGAACAGCTGAACTGTTCGGTAAAATTTATGCAATCAAATTCAATTGCTTTTCAGCTACTTTGAAACTAAATCTTCACAAAAATGACAAGATTTGATCATTTAAACAAGGTTGAACATGTTTTGAAATTATTTTCAAATTCAATAGCCTTTAAAATGAAGGTCAAAGTTTTACCGAACGTTCAGCTGTTCTGATTTCGGTAAAATTTACCGAACACGAAAACATATTTTATTCCGAAATGACTTCTTCTTCTTATTCGCATTTCAAGCTTATTGATTAGTGCATAAAGGGTGATACGGTCAAAATTTGGTCAATATCAACTTGACGTATTTCTTTCAATTTTGCATTTAAAAAACCTGAACACCCCTCATTTTGAAGGTGTGTGTGTGTAGAATGTTGCTCCTATTTTGATTTTGGAATTCACTCTTCAGTTGTCAAAATGCCGTCCAAGCAAGAAGAGCAGCGTATCGCGAAAATCCGAGCTACTCGCACGCAAAGTTGGCAAAATCGCTAAAAGTTGCCAAATCAACCGTTGCAAATGTAATTAAAGTGTTTGGGGAACGTTTGTCGACAGCCAGGAAGTCTGGATCGGGGGGAAATCGAAAACCGGAAGCCGCTGAGACGACAAAGAGAGTTGCCGGTAGTTTCAAGCGAAACCCTAACCTCTCTCTCCGAGATGCCGCAAATAAGCTGGGTGTATCGTCTACAACCGTGCATCGAGCCAAAAAACGAGCCGGACTATCGACTTACAAGAAGGTAGTGACTCCAAATCGCGATGATAAACAAAATACGACGGCCAAAGCGCGATCCCGGAGGCTGTACACGACGATGCTGACGAAGTTTGACTGCGTGGTAATGGACGACGAAACCTACGTCAAAGCCGACTACAAGCAGCTTCCGGGACAGGAGTTTTATACGGCAAAAGGAAGGGGAAAGGTAGCAGATGTTTTCAAGCACATGAAACTGCGTGCTCTTAACTTAGTGTTCTAAATGCACTTCCACAGTTATTAATTGAGAGCTTTCGATGCCAATACCAATGCATGAATTTGTATATTGTGTGACAAGTACAATGATACTCTATTATGCCCAGGGAAGTCGAGAAAATTTCCAACCCGAAAGATGCCCTCGACCGGACCGGGAATCAAACCGTGCCTTTTCTAAATAGGCTATGAGGTCCCCTTCCGATGTGGCGTCAATCATCTATTGCAGGCCGCTACACGTCGTCTCCGTGCCGAGAATACCAATGTTGTTGGGTGTTTGGCACTTTTTCACACACTGGATTCCGAAATGGCCTCTTCACGCCTTTCCCGTTCCGAAAATATTCATATTGTGGGGTATTTGGCACTTTCACAGCTTTAATAACTTACACACGACGTTCAAGTGCACCATAGTGGTGCGTAGTGCGAGAGTGCTGAATTTTGGAATCCAAGTTTCTTAAAGCCAAAATGGTACTGATAAAAATCCTACAATAGGGGCATTGAAGATCGGAAACTATGTGTTTAAAAAATCTAAGATGGTGACTTCCGGTTTGTGAAAAACTATTACCCTACAATATGCGTATTTTTGGTATTAAAATGTCGTGTAGAAGTCATAAATCAATGATTTACGCCATTTTGGAATCCACAGGCAGAAACATGAAACTGCAACGTGCAGAATCGGAACCTACTTAACTAACAACCCAAGAATGAAGTAAATAATTGAAATCTAAACAACTGTTTAATAAGGAAAATACCATAATGAAGTAATAAAACGGTCAACTGCGACTGAGCGGTAGATTAGCAAATCGACGTATGGACATAGGACCTATTCCAAAAGGACCCCAGATCAATTTGCGACAAACTTTACACTTTGTTGACTGATCTATTCAACTTGAATGTTTTTTCAAATAGATTCCAAGCTATGAAACAAAAGTTTGAATAAATTAAACTCAGCCTCTGAGTTAACACCGTTTTGGCGATTTTGAGAGAACTAATCTCAAATTTGAGTTAATCTTATTGGCCGTGTGCAAAGTACTCAGGTTTACAAAAAAGTGCATACGCCTTAACCAAGGTAACCAGTGTTTGAATCTATTTTTAAATATTAACTTATATAAACTTGGGTATTTGAAAGTTATTTTTAAACCAGGGACTACCATTTTGGATTCCGGACATCGATTGCCGGGAGAGGCAGCAATCCCCGTTCCAAAAATACCCAAAATGTAGGTATACTAGAAGCTCACATCACTTTTTACGTGTAGTTTACATGAGAATCTGAAAATTATTAGGGGAACCAAAGTGCCTAAGCCCCCTCCCCCGCTTAGTTGGTATCTATACTTCCGATAAGCTTTGATCACCACATTGAGATTCTCGAACACAGGGATTTTAAGATACAGGTTACACATCTAGTAAACATACGTACTAGTGCCGCGTAGTGATAAAATTCCGAATCTTTATGTCTACCATCCGAAAGGCATCGGACATCTGAATAACTTTCCTGTAGATATAAAATTTGTAGATGATCTATCTCAATATTTCACGATAAATCTTATACACACATGTATGCTAGCGCCTCGTAGTGGAAGAAAACTGAACTAATCTGTCCACATGTTTGCCGAAGACGCCAACTTCCTATATGGCCAGAATCTCGAGATACAGCTTGTACAGGAAATTTACATGCACATTAGCGCCACGAAGTGAGAAAATGCTGAACTAATCTACCCAACATCCGAAGGTCATGACCTACTGAATAACTTTCCCGAAGCTAGTAACCTTCTATATGGCCAGGATCACGGGATATTTCACGTTGGAAACAATGAAGTCAAATTCTATATGGACATATACCACTTTGCCTCGCAACAAAATGGCCATTTTGGTATGTACCAACAATTAAATTGTTTATATCATGTGTTCAAATTACAAAATCCCATTTTTTGAGATTTTTCTAGTACATCATTAAATAAAACACATAACTAGTGGAAAATATCCATGTGAATTTCACATAGCAATCATGTGATCCCATAATTGTAAATTGCACCAATATAATCTATATGATTACTCACATAGAATTTTTTTTGTTATGTGATATTCAGATAAAACTCATTATATTTGTTATTGGAAAAAAATATTATGTGCGTTCCTAATATAAACTAAGTGAAAACTTTTTTCAGTGTAGAACCTTGAATTCTGATGGCGTTTTTGCAAAAAAAAATCATAATTTATAAAAATGGCTTATGTACCACTTTCGCTCGCAACGGTTCTAATGTAGAAATGAGTTTTGAATTGGTGGATTATTCATGTATCAAGATTGGTTTGCATCCTTTAAATTGCATATCGTTATTTTTGTTCTTTTATTTAATTGTAATTATACTGAAACCAAAAGGCGCAACATGGATGAACACTACCAACAGTTTGGGAAAACCGGAAAACCGGATAAACGTCCGAAGACCAAAACAAGTTTTGTGGGGTAAGTCATGCGGAATTAATCTTCGGTGATCTCAACACACTGAAACAACAATTCTCTTTATAATCACATCTCATCAGAAATTGGTTGGATTCTAAATCCAAAGCTAAGAAAGTTCGACGATTACTATAAGTGAATTGATTTTGCGTTTTCATTCGCGAGATCAATATGAATGAGTGGAATAAAGAAAAAGAAACAAAGATCATCTAGCAGTGCGCGAAAACGTGCCGGTGCCGAGAGACGATTGTGAGTGCTAAAGAAGAACCATACCGCGTGTAGTCGCAGCTCTGATGAGGTTCGTCTTCAGAACGGCTTAAGCTTTAAACAACCTCAAATCACACATCGTCGCTTACAAACGGTCGAACCGTACAAGAAGACACATCATCCAGATTCAATTTGCCGTGTTACCAACGGGTTGGAAAGCGGAAAAAATCAACTCGACCATCATCAGGAAGTGGTACATTTTGGAATTTTTTTTTATTGAGGCGGGCAACCTTCTTGCATGTACATACTTCCTTGTGCTAGCCGCGAAAGGGAGTCGAATCAAAGTCGCGTGCCGTGTGTGGCTCCAGCGTAGTGCAGTGTAGTGTGTTTATATTATCTCATCAGAAACGAGGTTACCGGACAAGTGTAGAGTGATGTTGTTGTAGTTGCAGTAAATCGAAAAGAAAAACAACACCACTTTGGTTGCATTTAGAGGAAAAAGTGCATCGTACCTAGGGGTAGTTTGGCGCCTTCTTCATATACCTACCTGCATCCGCAGCGCTCGAAGCAAACCGAGAGCGAATAACATGAAGAACAGTTGTTTGCAACAAGGCAAACCGTAGCAACTTCTTGCGAGAGTGTTGTGTGAGCGCACTGCTACAGCTAGACAGTGTTTGGTTAATCTTGCTGGTGGTTATGTTAAAATTGCGCCAGAGTTAGTCGAACTTAAAAGTTCTACGAAAACGGATGTTTGTACGGAGCGAATGAAGAGACACTCGTGACTGCCAAAGTGTTTGGTGTGTTTTTCTGAGCTGTTTGACTTTCGGTGCCAAATATCGTCGATAGTGCGACAGTGCGACATTTGGTAAACATGAATAAGTCTGTTATAATTGTAAGTATAGTGCCGGCATTGGACGTTGTAAGGCTTATTTGCATTCACATCCCTGGCGAAAAGTGACTGAGTGCGTTCTGAGGTCGTCAAAACCTTCGTTTGAAATTGAAAATGTGCATTCCACCCGCAATTAGCACATGATTTCTTTTTTTTTATTTACGGTTATTCCCATGATGAAGATCGTTGGAACCCCGCGCGTGCGAATGAGTATAACTTGAAGTAGAAGGAAAATATGACGTAAGCGCCTTCTTGCGGAAAATTTATTTGGAATTAGCATCAGCCAGAATTATCGTAGAAGCGCATGGTTGGTAGTCTTCTTGAAGGAAACAAAAAAGTGTGCGATAGTGATTTGTTGCACGCATAATCTACAAACGTGGTTGTGAAAGATTCCGATCATTAGTTTAATATTGAGCTAGAAATTCTTATGTGCTGTTGATGACCTCAATGCTGTTTGAGTTGCTGCAGAAATGCATTCACGGCTTAGTTTCAAAAGGCAAGTTGCACACGGTCAATCAGACCGACTTAAAATTGTGTAGAGTTGGCTCAATTTAGACAAAAGTGGATTTATTCAAATGAACATACGTGAGAAAATTGACGATCATCTCTTTTGCTAGTGGTGGCAGGTGGAGATACCCCTCACCATCTCTCCTCAACAGGGGATTTTGGTAAAGGAGATGATCAACCCGACCCTAGTAGCACGCTTGTCACAATTCAGTTGTAGAAACTTATATACGACTTATTTCAGTCATAAACAAGTTGCTGTGACTAATTGTGATTAAAGTGTGCTACTCGGGCGATTCGTGCCTTCCTCAACATTGACCTTTGCTCGCTTTCTACTCTCTGTATACAGTTTTCACACTACTTTCATCTCCTCATCTATCGTATGAAATGACCACTTTAAAACTGATAATTGACGTTAAGCATCTCAAACTATGAAAATTGTCAACTTTACGCATGGAGCAATACAAACATGGCTACTTAAAAAGTAAATTCAATATTGTTTATCATTCCTATCAGGTTTGTCTCAGCATGAGTACAAAAGGGGACAGCTATTATTCCATAAATTTAGTAGCTTTAATGATTTACGTTTACAATATACGTAAAACTTTTGCGCATGTTTGCTTCTTTAGGTGTGTTGTATATAAATTTATTATTTTTACACCAAAACGTCAAAACTTTTATCTAGAATTTCTCAACAACCATCAAAAGATGCGTTCTTTCATAATCCTGAAGTCCGGTGCAGATAGTTCTCAAAATGAAATCAAAATAAAAAAAGTTAGAGCAAACTGTTTTTTTTCAGAACCACACTAACTTAATTTCAAAAAAAAAATATTATAGAATGATGTTTTGATGAGATAGAATTTGGATTTGAAATTAAATTATCTCTAAATTTGAAGAAGCAAGTTTTAATTTAAGCTTTGAACATAAACAGCTATTATTTTAATTTTGAAAAAAGAGGACCACCCTAGTCACCATCTATGCCAAAAGGCATATCTTTTCTTGTAGATAAACTCTTCGAAAGGTGCCAAATTGCTTGGGTGCAAAGTTTTTCAAATTTCTACAAAACAACCCCTAATTTCTTCGAATTTCTCTGAATTTATTCTGTATGGAACTTTGAACTTGAACTTCGAATATGTCCTCTGAACTTCTCTAATGATATTAAAGAAAAACCACTGAACTTCAGCATAGTGCCTTGATTTTCTACAACATTCACTTAATTCCTTTAAAGTTCGGTAATTTTTCAGAATATTGGATGAAGCTCTACAAATTTTCTATGCTTCTACAAAACTTGAAAAGTTTTACAATATTATTTGAAGCTTTATGTTCAACTTAATTTCATTAAAGTTCTATGAAGTTTAATGAACTTCTAGAAAGTTTGCTGAGCCTCAACACCGTTCAATTAATGTCTACGAAGCTTTTAAAACTTCCATGATGTCTCTTGAAGGTCTATGAAGTTTATCAATTGGGATCCTCATAATAATTTTGAAAACCTCGTTGTAGTTAAGGGAATTTCCGGTAAGTTGCAAAACTTCATTAATTCTTTAGTTTAATGAACTTAAAATAGATCAGGAGATTCCATAAAAAAATCAGAACATTTTGTAGACTTATAAAACATCGCAGAACATCATCGAAATTCTAAAAAGTCCAAATAAATTCACAGGAAACAGCGAAGTTAACATGAACTTTGTATAGAGCACTTCGAGAAACTTTGTTGTGCTGAGATTAACTTTAAAGTTTTAGGAACTTCTTTGGAATTATTCCAAATTTGTAGAAGTTTAGGGAATTTCGTAATAGCTCAGAAAGTATTCAAGACGTTCAGCTTATTTTTTAAATCTTAAGCGTATGACTTTTTTCCCTCTATTCGGTACATAACACCCCTGCGACCAGTAATTTGATCTATTGTAGTATATCAAGTATCCTTAGTTTAGTGTATGTCGTATTACTTCATAACTATTGAGAAATGATGAAGTATTCGGTTTTGATACAGTTGCCATTCTTGCCTTCATCGCAAGGAATCGATTCTAATTAAAAGGTCCCACTATTTATGCCCTTTGGAGTTGGAACACCCTCCAAAGCCGCATCCTTTTGTCAGTCAAAATTGGATTCCTTTGCAACAAAAATAAGCAATGACACCGATAATGACCATGCATCAGAACCCTAGTCTTAACCACTTCAAACTATGGAACAACGAAGAAAAGATTAGCAATCACATAGATGAAGACTAACTAACTCATTTTTTTTTCCTTGTTTCAAGATCATCCTCGGTGGACAAAGCCGAGTCTTGTCACTAACAACAAGGCATTAAAAATAACAAGAACTAAGAAACGTTTGACTTAAGAATTTACTCGAAGCTTTGGGATTAATGTTTCGAAATTCATAAGAAAGGTTCAGGGTAATTTCTGAACTTTGAAGAAGGCCATAGATGTTCTAAATTCTTGGATGAATTTAGAGAACTTGGAATCAGTCCGCAACGTGCTATCTTGCCGTGCGGATCTATTTGCTTTTTGCTGAACTAAGTTTTACTGCTACCTAAAGCTACAAGCAATTTAATCAGCACTTTTCAGTGCTCAATATACCAGTACATTTTCTACCTTATTTGACTCTTATTTCTCTTCGATCCTTGTGTGGACCCTAACCAAGGTAATCCTGCTTGGCCATCGACTTGAAAAATTCCTCTTCAATCCTTCGGATTCTTATAGTAATCTGCTTGGAAGTCGATTTGGAGAAGCTTGGTTCTGCTGTCATAGCGCCTAAGCGTAAAAGAAAAAAGCAATCGCTTGATCCCCTTCTGATGAAATTCAACGATGCTTTTTTTAGCCGGATGGCTAGGTCATCTCTTTAGATAGTATAAAAAGGAGAAAACAATAGGGTTCTCAGAAGGAGATTCCCAATCTTGGCTGTGGTGCATTTATCTTGCTATAATGAAAAGGTGTAGAAAACTGCCAAAAGGGCGAACAAACTGGAAACACAAACAAGGAACACTCAGATATTGTGGCCTTCTTTAGGAAGGTGATGGGGATGGCTGCTGCCGGGGACTCGTCGTCCAACAGGTTCCGAATGCTGATTGACTCCAAGCCGAAGGCAGCCCGAAGGTCCCCCAGCTCCGCGCAGTTCACGAGGATCTGCTCGACGGTGGCTGGCACTCCGCAGGTTTCGCAGGTCCTCCTGAACGGTGTTTCTCCGAAGCTGTGGGAGACTCTGCTGTGATGAGAACGATGCATCATTCTACTGAACAAAATTCTACTGAACATTCCCGGCTCAATGCTAAAAAGGAAAAGTTTCCCCTATAGGTCTTTTTAATGCACCACCAACGTAGAGTGCGCCACACGGGTTAGAGAGAAAACGTCAACCAAACAGTTTGATTACATCAGAATAAGGATTTTTCACAACGCAAATTACAGCATTTTTCATTGAATATCTTTCCAATTTCCATAGGTATTTGTCTTATTTTACGATTTTCCACAGATCTGAACTGATTTTCACCAAAACTATTCACACAAAAAAAAAAGCCGGAAGATCATAACCACTAAGGCTTTATCCTATTTTTTCCATTTTATTCAACAAAAATATTCCTAAACACCAACAGGATTCGTTTAAAAACGAATCAGAACAAAACATTTGAACTGTAGATCAAGTTTTTGAGCATCTCAGATGAATCAATTTATCAGGAAAAGTGAAAAAATGTTCCAATTCCTATGTCTCATGGCAAAAATTTCTGCTCACAACAATATTTTTGAAGTTCTCCTAACCAGAGGTTGAGTCGATCGCTTAGTTTTTATTTAAAAGGCGTATTGTTGTAACCACTTCCGATTTCCATGCTCTTTGCAAGGAACTTTTGAACTTCGTTCAATTTAAGTTGTCACTTCAAGTTAGCCGTGTATTGGCTGAAACCTTTTACGGGCTCAAACGTCAAGCACCTTAATGAGAAGCAACAAACTTTTTTTTTACTTACGACACCAAACTGAACCTCTGTTTAAGATTGTCTTTAAAGGTCTTCCCAGTTGTGAGTCCCTGGAACAGATCAAAGATGAATTAACTAAATTACTTGGAGTTGAGCCACTCTAAGCAATCAAAATGAAAATGACAACGGGATTTCTAATGATTTTTATTTAGTTCACTTCAAGTCTAGTGAATTAAACAACCTTAATGCCTTAGAAAAAGCTAGCCTTATGCTCCATGTCCGAGTGAAGTGGGAACACTTCAGGAAGACTGGAGGAAATTCCCAAAACCTCACTCAGTGCCGTAAGTGCCACGGATGGGGTCACGAAACTAAAAATTGCTACATGCCAGCTAAATGCATGAATTGTGGTGATTCCTTTCACGCAAAGGACGACTGTCCTGTGAAGGAAGATCCTAAGAAATTTAAATGTTCAAATTGTGGTGATAACCACAAATCAAATTTAAGCGATCCTACAATCTCGTTCTAAGCGACAGGTAAGAAACGCTCCACGTTCCCGAGCAGGTACACATTCCTCTGCTGTTAACAACGGTCAGCGAAG